ATAAGTGATTGCGATACGGAACAAGATACCGTTATAATGGACCGCGATGAGATGGATTCTATCATGGAAGAACTCAATTTTCTACGTGCTGAGCATATTAAATACAAAAAATATATCGAAGCCGTAAACGCAACGCCAAAAACAACACCAAAACCCAAAAAAACGAAACCTGAGGATGTGAAGGAAAGTGAAGGTGCACCGACTACACCCAAAAAATCAAAAAAAGCTAGTGCAAGCAAACAAATTCCCAACACAAAACCCCAACAAACCATACCGGAGGATGTGCAAAATAAGGAATTTCCAAAACTGCCCACAACCAAATCACCAGCTAAGCCAATAAGTATACCGAAAAAGACCGTGATACCCACCAAAAATGGCAATAACGAAAAAGGTCTACCGGTCATAGTAACGTACCAGCAAAACGCCAAAGCCCTAACAACACTCCTGAAGGAATCATCAAAGAAATTTACTCTCAACATCCTAAACAAAAACGTGATACATGTAAAGGTCTTCACATTGGCAGATTTCAACCTAACCAAAGAGTTGTTGAACAAAAACAAAGTGTTGTACTATAGCTTCACGCCTAAGCAAGTTAAGCCACACACAGTGATCTTAAGGAAACTACCACTTGAAGTGTACGATTCTGATGAGGTCAAAACAGCACTAGTTGAGGCCGTGCCTGAGCTAAACATCCTGTCAGTAAAGCCTTACAAGGAAAAGATGTGGATGGTTCAAGTGGAGAAAACTGAAAAAATAAACGAAATATTTAAAGTAACAACACTCCTCAACTGCCGAATTAACATCGAGGGTTTCAAGCCGCACCCAAACGCAATTAAGCAATGTCACAATTGCCAACGGTTCTGCCATGTTGCCAGCAACTGCAAAATGGCATTCCGCTGTGTCAAATGCACAAAAACACATGCTCCAGGGCAATGCACCCTAAAGAAAAAGGAAGACGGCCAAGAAGATACAACACAAAAAACCCAATGCGTGAACTGCTCTGGAAATCATACGGCCAATGCTAAAATCTGCCCAGTACGAATTGAGTACATCAAAAAAATGACCGAAAGGCGAAACCACACCCAAAAAAAAACAAACAAGTCCATCGCAACTGCAGCTGCAACTGTCCAGCTACAAAGCCGAATTGAAAAGGGACGAAGCTACGCCTCAGCAGCCAAAAGCAAGCCGATACCTACACAAGTGAAGGAAAACCCGAGAGCACGCCAAGAAAAGAAACAGGCAAACACCGCAGAAGAAAACGCCGGTTTTTCATTTGAACAACTCAACGGGGACTCTGTGGATGCATTTGGAAAAGATTTGCTTACCTGCTTCGACATCATGCAATCCCTAATTAAGAAATACCCAAACTCCAGCTCGGATAAAAAGGGAAAACAGCAATTGATTCTGGACTTCCTGATCCAAATCGCGCTCAACTAAATGCCAGTAAAAATCATGTTCCAAAACGTCAATGGCATCGTTCAACGGCGTAGGCGAAATGAACTTAACGAACATCTAAACAAACACAGGCCAGATCTGATGCTACTCGCTGAGCACAACCTGAGAAGTACGCACTCAGCCGGATTAACCAACTACCAATTCGTGAGGCAACATGTAGCAAGCTTAGAATCCACGCAGAACAGCACAAGAAGCCCTGGAACAGCAGTAGCCATCTGCTTGAGAAATGGACTCAGTTACGAACGAGTGAAAATCGACCAAATGCAATACATCGAGGCTGTGGCAGTGCAGATTTTCTATACAAACAGACGCAATTTAAGAACTGGATTAATTGCAATCTCACTCTACCTACGCCCCCAGCATCCTCTACTAAGCTCAGACTTGGACATTCTAATGCACTCGCTAGCTCAAATAGAGGATCATGAGCAATTCGTAATCGGATGTGATTTGAACGCGAAACACCCTGCCTGGAATAGGCCCACGTACCGTCCAGAACACATCAACACGTCAGGAATTAGCTTAGAGCGGTGGCTGGCAGACCAACCATTCCTAATTCTCCACCCAACCCAAGAACCCACACGTCCCAATCAGACAGGAGACTCCTCAATAGATTTTTTCCTAACATCATCCTCAACCCCAATAGACTACTCAACATTTACCTACGGCTGCAAAATCATCAAAGACTTCCCATCAGACCACTTTGGAATAACCATAAACATAAATCTAGGACGGAACCGACTAAACTACAACCCACCAAAATCGATACACAATTTTCATAAAATAGACCCGATCCACTGGAACACAATAATTCTACAGAACCTAACACACATTCCAAACACCCAAAACTTAAACACAGCTGACATAGATAACCACGTACATACTCTAACAAATGCAATAGCCAAAGCCCTTGACTCTGATGAGGCAATCCCAAAAATAACCATAAACCCGACTAACCCAAACAATCCGTTCACCCGACTTAGCACCCACTGCCTAAACCTAATCAAAAAAAAACGAAAACTTAGACGCATGCTTTTCCGCCGCCTATCCACCCTTACACCCAACCAACGCAACCAAATCAAAGACACTATAAAAGAACTGGACATACAAATAAACTGTCACATAGAAATTGCAGAGCTGAAAACAATAGAACAAAAACTACGCAAAATTAACCCAAGTAAAATTAGCCAGAAATCACTCCAAACACTCAATCCAAACACCCCACCAAAAGAACAACTAGCTCATGACCTACATTTGACCAACGAGGAAGCAGCTCTAATAGACATAGACCTAAACCTTAGCTCCTCCCAAAATATAACTTCCACTTTTCACAAAATTAATGCCCTGGCGTGGTCCTTTGAAAGAGTCCATAGCCAAAATGAAAACATCACCGACTCAGACCCTGTCCTCAGGGCACACACAATCGCCATCAATGAAACAATAGCCCAAACCACATCCACAACACTAAACTCATACAAAACTACATTCAATATTTCCAGAACAGCAGATGGTAACTGGCCCGAGTCACATGAACGCGGATTCACAAACGCCGAAGAGCTCTTTGAAATACTCAAAATAAAAAACTCAAAGAAGACCATGGGACCGGACGGCACCAGCAACTTTCTGATGAAACACTGCAATATGCCAATACTAAAACATTTAGCAACACTATTCAACCACTGCCTAAACTTAGGATACTTTCCTTCCGAATGGAAGAACAGCAGAATCATCGCCATTCACAAACCTGGATTAAATCCGCACAGCCTCCGAGCATACAGGCCTATTGCTCTACTATCTGCAATAAGTCTGCTGCTGGAGAAAATAATAATGCAACAAATACAGAAGCACATGGACTCACATAGCACGTTGAAAGATACTCAGTATGGCTTCAGAGCGAAATCATCAACCAACCATGCGTTCATCGCAGCAAATGATTTCATCTTTGAGAATTTATCCCACAAACGTGCTACAATAGCCTGTGCTCTGGACTTTGAGAAGGCTTTTGACACAGTCTGGACCAGCGGACTCATTTACAAGATGACCCAATTAAATTTCACCCCAGACATAACAAAAATAGTCCATAATTATTTAACAAACCGCTCATTTCAAGTTAGCAGCCCAGAAGACTCGGATCTGTCCCTTATAAGGTCGATCCCAGCAGGGGTTCCACAAGGTTCACTGCTGGCACCCATCCTCTACAACATCTACCTGGCAGACATGCCCGATTACCAAGTCCCTACCGGCTCAACCACACAAATTAAAGCACTAATCTACGCCGATGATATCCTGCTACTGGCATCTTCCGGTTCAATGGCCATCGCTGAAAGAGAGCTAAACGGGTACCTGAACATACTGTGCCACTACTTCACCAAATGGCATCTCAAACTCAACGCAAGCAAATGCACCAGCTCAATCCTTAAGGGCCCACGATTGGGCTACCTGTACAGGAATGCGAGGAGATTCCAGCCCAGTCTGTTCATCTACGATAGACTGGCAATCAAATACGAAAAGCAGTTCAAGTACCTTGGTGTTGTATACGACGAAAAGCTGAACTTCAAGATACACACAGCAAATGCCCGAAGGAAAGCATGTGCAATGATCCACAAGATCCAACACATATACAAGCCAATATCCTCCAATCAAGGGAACATCAGTCACATCACCAGAATCTGCGCTCTAGCCTACAAAAAACTAATACAACCAGTTCTTATGTACGGCTATGTAGCGTGGATGAACATAAAGACTATCGAGATGGAAGAGCTGCGCCGGTTCGAAAGAAAAATACTTCGCAAATCAATCGGCACTCAAAGCAGAGACTCATTGACGGGCCACTACATACCGAACAAGCGACTTTATAAATTAACAAAAACAACAAGGATAGACAGACTCATGTTCCAAATACTGGAGAAGCTGGTCGAAAGAGATAATACGACACAAACGGAAATACCTGCAAACTACCACACTGAGTTCCTTACCGCCCATCATTTAACCCATCTAATGGAAATGGGCATTATCTATGACGAAGACGAAAACCTCATCTTCCACCACAGAAGACATCGATCTCTAAGTCACGCCGACGGTCTGGTATTCAATACCAGTCAATAAGCCACTCCCCCGACCAACTGTAAATACTGTAAATACTCCCCTCCACTCCACCCTCCTTTACCCAGTAAAATAAGAATAGAATAAGCTTAGCACATAAATTAGCCCATAAGATCTAAACCAAATCAAAAGTAAACTTTATCCAGGTTTTTAACTTAACCATTTTTTCCTGGAAAACACTAAACCACTAGATATTAACTATAACATAACCTAAACTAAAGATAAGATCTCTAATATAATAGTAACCAAAAGACTAGCACCCGGATAAGCTTAAAGCGCAGGGTAAAATTACACACACATAAGATAAAGTAAGCTTGAACTTGTCACTCATGTATCACTATATACCTAAGCAGAAGCTGTGCTACTGTAATATGAAATATGACAATAAATAAACGCTAAAAAAAAAAAAAAACGCGATCGATTATTACAAATTCAGACTTTGAAAGTGAATAGTGAAAATGGCTCGTACCAAGCAGACTGCTCGTAAATCGACTGGTGGCAAGGCGCCGCGCAAACAACTGGCTACCAAGGCCGCACGTAAAAGTGCTCCAGCAACCGGAGGCGTGAAGAAACCTCATCGCTATCGCCCCGGCACTGTTGCCCTCCGTGAAATCCGTCGCTACCAGAAGAGTACCGAGCTGCTGATCCGCAAACTGCCTTTCCAGCGTTTGGTTCGTGAAATCGCTCAGGATTTCAAAACTGACTTGCGTTTCCAGAGCTCGGCAGTAATGGCACTCCAGGAAGCTAGCGAAGCCTATCTGGTCGGTCTCTTCGAAGATACCAACTTGTGCGCCATCCATGCCAAGCGTGTCACAATCATGCCCAAGGACATCCAACTGGCCAGACGTATCCGTGGCGAGCGTGCTTAAGTTGATATTTCTTCGTCAGGCGCATATAAATTTCATACAAATCGGTCCTTTTCAGGACCACAAAATAATTTTCAATGAGATTTTTTATTTCTGCATACTCGTACTATTTTTCCCAAATAAAATATTTGTAATTTTGTCTTTGCTTTGTGCTAGAGCGTTGGTTTAGATACAAAACAGAATTGGATTGGGAGAATACCGTATACGATCCGTATTAAATGTATAGTTAGACGAATGTTTTGACATCTTCTGGTTTTTCATTCAAGAATTTTGCTGATTGTAAGAATTCTAAAAGGCGGACAACATTTGTGTAGGGTTAAATTGCGGCGACACATATAATTTCTATGTATTTGGGAAAGAAAAATATATTTTTGTTGCGAGGTGATAAACCTATCAGAAACAAACAGATAGACCTGTGGAACTAGAATAGAATACAAACCCTTTTAACGCAATTTTAGATTTTTCCAATGACCAATAAATTGCATTTGATATTTTTCGAATCTACTACTGGTATACTAGTATGCAATAATTGGTCGTTATAAATGAAAATATATGAAAATCTTCAACAAAAGTAAATGAAATATGTTCTTAAGATTCGTATAAATTGGTATAGACAATAAAATTTACGTAAAATTTATTTTTTCGATTTTTACTTTGAGATGAACTTAATTTGTAGTGCTATGTGGGTAAGAAAGTATGTTATTTATGGGTAAATATTGGCAAAAATGGATCAGAAATAATATAAAATTGAAAATCGTGTTCATTTCCTTAAGAAAAATGGTTTTAAACAATATATTTTTAAGCATTTATATTTTTTGACCCCTAAATTCAATGTTGAACATATCCAGAAAGTGGTCTTTTTGTACCTAATAGGGTTATCTTCAAAACGATTTTAAAATACCATACTAAACGATATGTGAATATATGTTTATTGTCTCTTAAAGTAAATTAATCAAATTTTATGTTTAAAAAAAAAGTTTATCAAAATGAGCCAGCATTGTTATTTATTAATATCATTGAATCCAAAATATAAGAGTTGGATAACTAGTTGTCAAAGTTTGCACAATTATTAAAAATCGATGATGGACGATATTCACAAAATAAATGATTTACAGTAATATTTGAAATATTTAACAATATGAATCAATGAAAATATATTTCAATTATTTAATAGTTATATATAGAAAAGCAAATATAAGCCAGACGTTCAATGAAACTTCTAACAAACAAATCACCAATGCTAAAATCATCTTCGTACTACCCTTCTACTCGCTTCTCATTCGAACGAGGGACCATAGCCCAGGTCCACAACGGCGTTTTTTCATTGAAAAGTGTAATTTTGTAAAGAATAATGTCTGATTCTGCAGTTGCAACATCCGCGTCTCCAGTGGCTGCTCCACCAGTACCAGCGGAGAAGAAGGTGGCCGCCAAAAAGGCATCTGGATCCGCTGCTGCTACTGCAAAGGCAAAGAAGCCCACAGCTCCACCATCGCATCCCCCAACTCAGCAAATGGTTGACGCTTCGATTAAGAGCTTGAAGGAACGTGGCGGCTCATCGCTTTTGGCAATCAAGAAATATATTACTGCCGAATACAAATGCGATGCCCAGAAACTGGCCCCATTTATCAAGAAGTACTTGAAGTCGGCCGTTGCCAATGGAAAGCTGATCCAAACAAAGGGAAAGGGTGCATCTGGTTCGTTTAAGCTGTCGGCTTCCGCCAAAAAGGAGCCTAAGCCAAAGGTTGCATCTGTCGAGAAGAAAGTTAAAAGTAAGAAGGTGGCGTCATCGTCGTCGGCGGCAACCAAGAAGACAGCAAGCCCTAAAAAAGCAGCCGCTGCCGGTGACAAGAAACTAAAGGTGAAGAAGTCAGTCGCCACCAAGAAGACCGCCGAGAAGAAGAAAACTGAGAAGGCAAAGGCTAAGGATGCGAAGAAAACTGGAACCGTGAAGGCGAAGCCAACAGCGACAAAGGCCAAGTCGAGCCCAGCAAAACCAAAGCCAAAGCCAAAAGCAAAGGCTGTAGCTGCAGCGGCATCTGTCAAGCCCAAGAAGACAACGAAGAAGCCAGCAGCTCCCGCCACTGTAAAGAAGCCGAAAGCCAAGACGACGGCGGCCAAAAAGTAAAGTGTGAAACTGTACACGTTGGTGTACAAGGTCGCATTCGAAATTTTAGATGTATCCGTCTGAAATTGATTTAAACAAGCCCTTTTCAGGGCTACAAAACTATATTCAAAAGAGATACAAATTATCGAGCCTTGTCTTGCATACATACGAGTATGCTACAGATATATTGTATATTTAGCATCCAGTTCAAACGTTATTCAAAGAGTTATTCGGAATGAATTTTTCCCGAACCGAATCAAATACGTACATATGTATGAAAAACCGTTCACACAGACGCTGTATCTCAGAGGTCGGCAATTGAATAAAATTGTTATTGTATTGTGCATATATTTCTTGCATATCGATGAAATTATATATTGAAAATGGAATTTCTTTGGAAGAACATTTTGTGGCCCTGAAAAGGGCCTTTTTGGGTTTTGTTCGAAACCAATTTACTTGGAGCTGGTGTACTTGGTGACAGCCTTGGTTCCCTCACTAACAGCGTGCTTGGCCAGCTCTCCCGGCAGCAGCAGGCGCACAGCCGTTTGGATTTCCCGACTGGTGATGGTTGAGCGCTTGTTGTAATGAGCCAAGCGAGACGCCTCGGCAGCAATGCGCTCGAAGATGTCATTTACAAAGCTGTTCATGATGCTCATCGCTTTCGACGAAATACCAGTGTCAGGATGGACTTGCTTCAGAACTTTGTAAATATAGATGGCATAGCTCTCCTTCCTCTTGCGCTTCTTCTTCTTGTCGTTCTTGGTGATGTTCTTCTGAGCCTTTCCAGCCTTTTTGGCTGCCTTTCCACTAGTCTTGGGAGGCATTTTTCACTTCACTTTATGTAAAACACTTAATGTGTTTGAACGGACTGGGCTCAGAATCTTATAGTTTTATTCGAGTAGTCTGTTCAGGTTTAACATACATTTCGTAGCGGGCGAAAACCCACCCCTTGGTTGAGCGCTCATGCAGTCGGAAAAGGTATAAATATGGCGTTCTGTGGCGTTGGACAACATTCGTGTGTGAACAGTGAAAAAGCAAAGGAATCTATTAACATGTCTGGTCGTGGTAAAGGTGGCAAAGTGAAGGGAAAGGCAAAGTCTCGGTCGAACCGTGCTGGTCTTCAGTTCCCTGTTGGTCGTATTCATCGTCTACTTCGCAAGGGCAACTATGCCGAGCGTGTCGGTGCCGGCGCTCCCGTTTACCTGGCTGCCGTGATGGAATACTTGGCCGCTGAAGTTCTCGAGTTGGCTGGCAATGCTGCCCGTGATAACAAGAAGACGAGAATTATCCCTCGCCATCTGCAGCTGGCCATCCGCAACGATGAGGAGTTGAACAAACTGCTCTCAGGCGTCACCATTGCTCAGGGTGGTGTGTTGCCCAACATCCAGGCCGTTCTGCTGCCCAAGAAGACCGAGAAGAAGGCATAAATGTTCCAATAGCAAAAACAATTTACATTCTTGTACAATATATAAACCAAAACGTCCTTTTCAGGACGACCAAACTATGTCAAAAGAATTAAGAGAATTTTCATAATTTATTATCATTCATTATTATCAGTTGAAATAAAATGCACATATTTGTGTTTTTTTGGTACAGGGCCTAAAAGAAAGTACAGTTGCGTCCGACGCATCTGAACAACGGATGAAATTCAATGTTTGCTTGCCAAGAAAGAACCCAAATTTTACCTACCTACCCAAGTTTATCTACGAGAATACTTTCGATCAAAAAGTTCCCATCTTGGAAAGATGGCTGAACTTTTAGACTGAAAGAAAGAAAAACACTATATGCAGCGCACATACATACAGCTGCGCCGAAAAAAATAGCACCAGGGGACTAATGTTTCTATATTGACGGATTTAGCTTAAACAATGGTTCTAATGAACGTTGTTAAGACTAATATGTAAACTTTAAGGTATAATTTATCGAATCCCAGAGCACTGGTATGATTTGCAAGCTCCAAATGAAAAAATTTGAAAAGAGAAGAATTTTATCAGAAATTTGGGCACCAACAAAATAGCACCAATTTACAAGGAAATCGAAAAACTATAAAATACAAGGAAACTTTCCAAATTTTTTTGTAAAAAATGTTACTTAGTTGTATTCAAAGGTTGGCGTTTTGTTGTAAAACCTTTGACAGCAACAACAGCAGCTCAGCATATTGGCATTAAAGCTCACCTCATTTTCGCATCTTTTCCTTGGGATATTGATCCACGAACCATGCAGAATACCCCAAACATATTTAATGTTCTTTGATTCCGCATTAGAAACATATTTTTTAGCTTGACCCAAAACATTAGCAATGGGGTTCAAGTCTGGAGACTGAACAGGCCAATCTATTGCACTAAGTGAATTGTGCTCGAACCACTTTCGAGCTCTCTTTCTAGATCGTTTTGGGTCATTTTCCTGCTGGAAGACACAAAACAAGTCTATTTCGTATTCTGCATAAAGCAGAATCACTGTTTCTTTGGTATTGACATAGACATGTTGATCCATAATGGGGTTGTGCCATATATTGGGTCACCTGCCTAGTACGAAAATCATGCCCATACGATTTTTCTTGCTTTTCTATGTCTAATGAATTTACATGTGAGTCAGGGGGTTGTATTCTGCATTCGGTAGTCGTTTCACACAAGAACAAGACCCTTTTACACCAAAAAATAAATTTTGGCTTTAGTCGGACCACAGGATGTTTCTCCATTTTCGTTGGCCCAACCTCAGTGCTATTTTGCATACCAAACTTTTTTTTGCCCTATGCCTTTCCGTGAAAAGTGAAATTTTCCTCGTACTACGAGTACCCATTTTACGTTCTTGTATACAAGATCTAACTTTCCTGGTACTTGACGATTTTTTAAGATCCTTGCTTTAGCTCTGTGGCCGACTTAAATGGGTCCTCCTTGCTCTCACGAACCAGTAGTTTTAGCAGAAATGGGGATATCGCGGCCTTTCTTGCACGTGATTCTTGTTGGAAACATATTTAAAAGCATTGCTAATCATTTCTTTTGAACAACCGACAATTTGCCCCACCTTAGCATAGGTCCTGCCTTCTGAAATGAAAGTTTTGATCCTTTGGCTTTTTTCTTCACTTTAGTGCTTTCCAAGACCCATAACTACTTAAATTTTGTAACTTTCTTGTCACAATCACCTAAAGCCACCGATTTTTAATTCAATCAAGAACTTAAAATATTAAGAAGCTCCGAAAAGTAGAAGCTTTTACTTAAAACAGTTACTGGTGCTATTTTTGTTGGTGCTCTATTTCGCTCTCCTTTCGCAAAATTGCCTAATGTTATAAGAACCGTTAGAATTGAGAGATGAAGAACAATCCTCTCAGAGAGGAGACATATAAAGCTACATTATATTGCAGTAAAGTCCAGAAAATGTTGGACAGTGGTCTTGTTTTGAAGGAATAAAGACGGTCGTCCCTACTGGTGCTATTTTTTTCGGCGCCACTGTATGTATGTACATAGTAGATGGGAATTGCGTATTGCAATCAATGACTCGACAATCAATTAATTTTTTCTTTCATTATTCTGCTTTTACTTCACTATTATCAAGTACGATTCATGATTTTGAAAATATGTCTCTCTTCTAGATTATTTGTGGTCCTGAAAAGGACCGATTGTTTAATTTATGGTTACTTTTGAACTGCAGACTATACAGATTTTCTTAACCGCCGAAACCGTACAGCGTGCGGCCTTGTCTCTTCAGAGCATACACAACATCCATGGCTGTGACTGTCTTCCTCTTGGCATGTTCGGTGTAGGTGACGGCATCACGGATAACGTTTTCCAAAAACACTTTCAGCACTCCACGAGTTTCCTCGTAGATGAGTCCCGAGATACGTTTTACACCGCCACGACGAGCTAAACGGCGGATAGCGGGCTTCGTGATACCCTGGATGTTATCACGAAGAACCTTGCGATGACGCTTAGCGCCTCCCTTTCCCAAGCCTTTGCCACCTTTACCACGACCAGTCATTTTCTTTCACTATGTTGTTTCACTTTACGACACGAAGAACGAATGCCATCCACATTTTGTATCGCTTGTATTTATACAAAACACCATCAAAACACGAGTGAGTCCGAATGATATGTGCATCTCGCTCGTGAAATGAAATAGCATGCTTCGGCAACTCTCTCGTTTCAACCCTCCACCAGAAGAATGCTTTATAAGTAAGTGGCGGGATGCGCGATCGATTATTACAAATTCAGACTTTGAAAGTGAATAGTGAAAATGGCTCGTACCAAGCAGACTGCTCGTAAATCGACTGGTGGCAAGGCGCCGCGCAAACAACTGGCTACCAAGGCCGCACGTAAAAGTGCTCCAGCAACCGGAGGCGTGAAGAAACCTCATCGCTATCGCCCCGGCACTGTTGCCCTCCGTGAAATCCGTCGCTACCAGAAGAGTACCGAGCTGCTGATCCGCAAACTGCCTTTCCAGCGTTTGGTTCGTGAAATCGCTCAGGATTTCAAAACTGACTTGCGTTTCCAGAGCTCGGCAGTAATGGCACTCCAGGAAGCTAGCGAAGCCTATCTGGTCGGCCTCTTCGAAGATACCAACTTGTGCGCCATCCATGCCAAGCGTGTCACAATCATGCCCAAGGACATCCAACTGGCCAGACGTATCCGTGGCGAGCGTGCTTAAGTTGATATTTCTTCGTCAGGCGCATATAAATTTCATACAAATCGGTCCTTTTCAGGACCACAAAATAATTTTCAATGAGATTTTTTATTTCTGCATACTCGTACTATTTTTCCCAAATAAAATATTTGTAATTTTGTCTTTGCTTTGTGCTAGAGCGTTGGTTTAGATACAAAACAGAATTGGATTGGGAGAATACCGTATACGATCCGTATTAAATGTATAGTTAGACGAATGTTTTGACATCTTCTGGTTTTTCATTCAAGAATTTTGCTGATTGTAAGAATTCTAAAAGGCGGACAACATTTGTGTAGGGTTAAATTGCGGCGACACATATAATTTCTATGTATTTGGGAAAGAAAAATATATTTTTGTTGCGAGGTGATAAACCTATCAGAAACAAACAGATAGACCTGTGGAACTAGAATAGAATACAAACCCTTTTAACGCAATTTTAGATTTTTCCAATGACCAATAAATTGCATTTGATATTTTTCGAATCTACTACTGGTATACTAGTATGCAATAATTGGTCGTTATAAATGAAAATATATGAAAATCTTCAACAAAAGTAAATGAAATATGTTCTTAAGATTCGTATAAATTGGTATAGACAATAAAATTTACGTAAAATTTATTTTTTCGATTTTTACTTTGAGATGAACTTAATTTGTAGTGCTATGTGGGTAAGAAAGTATGTTATTTATGGGTAAATATTGGCAAAAAATGGATCAGAAATAATATAAAATTGAAAATCGTGTTCATTTCCTTAAGAAAAATGGTTTTAAACAATATATTTTTAAGCATTTATATTTTTTGACCCCTAAATTCAATGTTGAACATATCCAGAAAGTGGTCTTTTTGTACCTAATAGGGTTATCTTCAAAACGATTTTAAAATACCATACTAAACGATATGTGAATATATGTTTATTGTCTCTTAAAGTAAATTAATCAAATTTTATGTTTAAAAAAAAAGTTTATCAAAATGAGCCAGCATTGTTATTTATTAATATCATTGAATCCAAAATATAAGAGTTGGATAACTAGTTGTCAAAGTTTGCACAATTATTAAAAATCGATGATGGACGATATTCACAAAATAAATGATTTACAGTAATATTTGAAATATTTAACAATATGAATCAATGAAAATATATTTCAATTATTTAATAGTTATATATAGAAAAGCAAAAATAAGCCAGACGTTCAATGAAACTTCTAACAAACAAATCACCAATGCTAAAATCATCTTCGTACTACCCTTCTACTCGCTTCTCATTCGAACGAGGGACCATAGCCCAGGTCCACAACGGCGTTTTTTCATTGAAAAGTGTAATTTTGTAAAGAATAATGTCTGATTCTGCAGTTGCAACATCCGCGTCTCCAGTGGCTGCTCCACCAGTACCAGCGGAGAAGAAGGTGGCCGCCAAAAAGGCATCTGGATCCGCTGCTGCTACTGCAAAGGCAAAGAAGCCCACAGCTCCACCATCGCATCCCCCAACTCAGCAAATGGTTGACGCTTCGATTAAGAGCTTGAAGGAACGTGGCGGCTCATCGCTTTTGGCAATCAAGAAATATATTACTGCCGAATACAAATGCGATGCCCAGAAACTGGCCCCATTTATCAAGAAGTACTTGAAGTCGGCCGTTGCCAATGGAAAGCTGATCCAAACAAAGGGAAAGGGTGCATCTGGTTCGTTTAAGCTGTCGGCTTCCGCCAAAAAGGAGCCTAAGCCAAAGGTTGCATCTGTCGAGAAGAAAGTTAAAAGTAAGAAGGTGGCGTCATCGTCGTCGGCGGCAACCAAGAAGACAGCAAGCCCTAAAAAAGCAGCCGCTGCCGGTGACAAGAAACTAAAGGTGAAGAAGTCAGTCGCCACCAAGAAGACCGCCGAGAAGAAGAAAACTGAGAAGGCAAAGGCTAAGGATGCGAAGAAAACTGGAACCGTGAAGGCGAAGCCAACAGCGACAAAGGCCAAGTCGAGCCCAGCAAAACCAAAGCCAAAGCCAAAAGCAAAGGCTGTAGCTGCAGCGGCATCTGTCAAGCCCAAGAAGACAACGAAGAAGCCAGCAGCTCCCGCCACTGTAAAGAAGCCGAAAGCCAAGACGACGGCGGCCAAAAAGTAAAGTGTGAAACTGTACACGTTGGTGTACAAGGTCGCATTCGAAATTTTAGATGTATCCGTCTGAAATTGATTTAAACAAGCCCTTTTCAGGGCTACAAAACTATATTCAAAAGAGATACAAATTATCGAGCCTTGTCTTGCATACATACGAGTATGCTACAGATATATTGTATATTTAGCATCCAGTTCAAACGTTATTCAAAGAGTTATTCGGAATGAATTTTTCCCGAACCGAATCAAATACGTACATATGTATGAAAAACCGTTCACACAGACGCTGTATCTCAGAGGTCGGCAATTGAATAAAATTGTTATTGTATTGTGCATATATTTCTTGCATATCGATGAAATTATATATTGAAAATGGAATTTCTTTGGAAGAACATTTTGTGGCCCTGAAAAGGGCCTTTTTGGGTTTTGTTCGAAACCAATTTACTTGGAGCTGGTGTACTTGGTGACAGCCTTGGTTCCCTCACTAACAGCGTGCTTGGCCAGCTCTCCCGGCAGCAGCAGGCGCACAGCCGTTTGGATTTCCCGACTGGTGATGGTTGAGCGCTTGTTGTAATGAGCCAAGCGAGACGCCTCGGCAGCAATGCGCTCGAAGATGTCATTTACAAAGCTGTTCATGATGCTCATCGCTTTCGACGAAATACCAGTGTCAGGATGGACTTGCTTCAGAACTTTGTAAATATAGATGGCATAGCTCTCCTTCCTCTTGCGCTTCTTCTTCTTGTCGTTCTTGGTGATGTTCTTCTGAGCCTTTCCAGCCTTTTTGGCTGCCTTTCCACTAGTCTTGGGAGGCATTTTTCACTTCACTTTATGTAAAACACTTAATGTGTTTGAACGGACTGGGCTCAGAATCTTATAGTTTTATTCGAGTAGTCTGTTCAGGTTTAACATACATTTCGTAGCGGGCGAAAACCCACCCCTTGGTTGAGCGCTCATGCAGTCGGAAAAGGTATAAATATGGCGTTCTGTGGCGTTTGACAACATTCGTGTGTGAACAGTGAAAAAGCAAAGGAATCTATTAACATGTCTGGTCGTGGTAAAGGTGGCAAAGTGAAGGGAAAGGCAAAGTCTCGGTCGAACCGTGCTGGTCTTCAGTTCCCTGTTGGTCGTATTCATCGTCTACTTCGCAAGGGCAACTATGCCGAGCGTGTCGGTGCCGGCGCTCCCGTTTACCTGGCTGCCGTGATGGAATACTTGGCCGCTGAAGTTCTCGAGTTGGCTGGCAATGCTGCCCGTGATAACAAGAAGACGAGAATTATCCCTCGCCATCTGCAGCTGGCCATCCGCAACGATGAGGAGTTGAACAAACTGCTCTCAGGCGTCACCATTGCTCAGGGTGGTGTGTTGCCCAACATCCAGGCCGTTCTGCTGCCCAAGAAGACCGAGAAGAAGGCATAAATGTTCCAATAGGAAAAACAATTTACATTCTTGTACAATATATAAACCAAAACGTCCTTTTCAGGACGACCAAACTATGACAAAAGAATTAAGAGAATTTTCATAATTTATTATCATTCATTATTATCAGTTGAAATAAAATGCACATATTTGTGTTTTTTTGGTACAGGGCCTAAAAGAAAGTACAGTTGCGTCCGACTCATCTGAACAACGGATGAAATTCAATGTTTGCTTGCCAAGAAAGAACCCAAATTTTACCTACCTACCCAAGTTTATCTACGAGAATACTTTCGACCAAAAAGTTCCCATCTTGGAAAGATGGCTGAACTTTTAGACTGAAAGAAAGAAAAACACTATATGCAGCGCACATACATATGTATGTACATAGTAGATGGGAATTGCGTATTGCAATCAATGACTCGACAATCAATTAATTTTTTCTTTCATTATTCTGCTTTTACTTCACTATTATCAAGTACGATTCATGATTTTGAAAATATGTCTCTCTTCTAGATTATTTTGTGGTCCTGAAAAGGACCGATTGTTTAATTTATGGTTACTTTTGAACTGCAGACTATACAGATTTTCTTAACCGCCGAAACCGTACAGCGTGCGGCCTTGTCTCTTCAGAGCATACACAACATCCATGGCTGTGACTGTCTTCCTCTTGGCATGTTCGGTGTAGGTGACGGCATCACGGATAACGTTTTCCAAAAACACTTTCAGCACTCCACGAGTTTCCTCGTAGATGAGTCCCGAGATACGTTTTACACCGCCACGACGAGCTAAACGGCGGATAGCGGGCTTCGTGATACCCTGGATGTTATCACGAAGAACCTTGCGATGACGCTTAGCGCCTCCCTTTCCCAAGCCTTTGCCACCTTTACCACGACCAGTCATTTTCTTTCACTATGTTGTTTCACTTTACGACACGAAGAACGAATGCCATCCACATTTTGTATCGCTTGTATTTATACAAAACACCATCAAAACACGAGTGAGTCCGAATGATATGTGCATCTCGCTCGTGAAATGAAATAGCATGCTTTGGCAACTCTCTCGTTTCAACCCTCCACCAGAAGAATGCTTTATAAGTAAGTGGCGGGATGCGCGATCGATTATTACAAATTCAGACTTTGAAAGTGAATAGTGAAAATGGCTCGTACCAAGTGTGAACAGTGATAAAGAAAACAGTGCCTGGTCGTGGTAAAGGTGGCCAAGTGAAGTGAAGGACTACAAGGACTAAGTGAATTGACGTGATCAAAGTGTAACAAGTGTAACAAGTCAGAAAATCGCATATATTGCACCTCTAAAATCTGAACTTTTTAAAAATAGTGAGCAGACATTGTGCAACTAAAACCAATATACTGCTAGAAGCAGAGTGCCTCTACATATGTGATATGCCGGAGAAAGGAGGCTGCAGTGTGGAAAAAGCGAACAAAATGGCAGCACATTCGGCAATCAGTGACGATGTTAGGCTCGTTGACGAGGCAATGGAAGCTGAATATGATAACGTGAAAAGGACCAG